CCCCACACACCTTTATCACCTGAATCTCCTCCTAGAGCCCGATTGAGTTCTTTGTAACCAAATCTCTCTCAGAGGGGCGTGGGGAGGGGCTCCTTATTTTCATCTAAAGTAACAGACAGAGAATCAGCACTTTGGAAACAGGGCTGAAACAGAGGGGATTATGGGTAATTCTGCAATGATCTGTTTGGTGTTTCAGCCAATCAGAGACATGTTCTGTATATATCTGAGACCTGTGATATATTGATGAAAAACAGTATATATAGGGGACCTTTAACTGAACCATGTTTACCAGTATACAGTGTGTGTGTATGGATCTACATGCTGCCTTTGAACCCACCTGCATAACGCAAAGACAAACGACAAATACTCTCTGACACCGCAGCACCTATCAATCTTCATCCTTTGATGCCACTGTTATGAATAATAAAAGGGCAACGGAAATATGACTGTGTGACTTCGAGCAAAAACTTTCCATTCTGCTTTCCAGCCCTTTACTGGTTAATGAGGTAACTGGATTTTCTTACAGGTACATACAAAAAGATTAGATTACTGTCACATTAAAAAAAACAAGAGATCTTTTGCCAAAAGAAAGTAATCAGGTTACTTACATTTTCATACTCAGATAACACATTTTTACTAACTAACTAGTCATTCTAACAGAACACATGAACGAATCCTGTTAGATTGAAGCATCTCATAATGTCAGTACACCAACTTGTCCTCTAGGGGAGCCTCTCTAACCATTAGCATAATTATGTTACCATGGTGACCGCACATGACCTGTCCCCATGGCTGGGATTTAAAAGACTGCCCTAAGGTCGAACAGCTAATCCGTTTTAATTCATGTATCTTTACTGAGTTATTTGAAGTTATGCTAATGACACGTGTGTGTGTGTGTGTGTGTGTGTGTGTGTGTGTGTGTGTGTGTGTGTGTGTCACAGACAGAGATAGACAGGAAGTGGATGTACTGTGTCAGTTGAGTCAGTAAGGCTCCCTCGCTCCCCTGAGACTCTCTCTCGGTCTCTCTCTCTTTCCCCAGGAGACATAGCAGACTCTCTAACAAGCCCCCTGATTTGTCAGGCCCGGTGTTTTAGCATCAAAGAATGTGCACGTGACCCAACATGTCAAACCGTGCACTGCTTCCCAAGGGAGTAAGAGGGGAGAGTTTGTAAAAAAAATGAATAAGGCATGCCTGGGGAGAGGCTATAATATCTAGAGGGTATGATCCTTTTCTCATCGACGTAACATCTGTGAACAAAGGAAATGTGGAAATATTGTAGTACTAGGTAGTAAGCCTAGTAGTAGCTTTAAAGAGGGTCAGAATATGAGTAAATATTGATATTACATGTGGGAAATATATCAAATACACTATCTGTATTTCATATTTGTTACAATTTATATATGCCTAAGCCCTGCACTTTATCCATGCTCTGAACTTGCACCTGCAGGCAATATCTGTTAATATTATTTTCCCATTTATACAAAATAGTCTGCTTCTTGCCTCCAGTGGCAATCCTAGAGTCGGTGGGGGCCCTAGGCAAACATTCACTGGGGGGTTTCCCGAAATGTCGTTGCAGTAAATTAAAGGGTGTTTCATGTTGTCGTTGCTGTGGACCTTCTTAATCTACCTTCTTTGGGGGCCCCCTTCTGGTCCGGGGCCCCAAGCAGTTGCCTGCCTTGCCTGTTCGCAAGGAGCGCCCCTGCTTGCCTCACATTTGCATTCAACTGTGATACTGTATTAAACTGTAACCTCATGCGCTGTCTGGTTAGATGCAAGCTGCATGTTGTACTGTGTGTGATGACAAGAACATTGAATCTAATCTAAAAAGGTTGACTTCATAGCAGTACAGTTGCGCTGTATTGCATTGGATTATACAGGTGTACCGTAATAAAGTGGAGTGAACTGTGTATTGCTGTAGTTGAACTATAGGCTACCGTTTTTATATGAAATCTCAAAAATGTAATGTAGAATCCTTTGGAAAGTTTTTAATAAAATCAAAGGCAATTCAATATTTTTGACAAAGGATCCTGGAGTTTCAACAAAAATAAATAGTGTTTTTTTGTTTACAGTCTCTGTGTTTACAGCAAATTGTGTGTGTTATAAACAACTGGTTTGCAAAGAGCTTCATTTCCTCCACAGACTGACAGCGCCATCTGGCGGTGAGAGGCTAGAATAGCAACCCATTTCCAAACAAAGTCTGAGCATGTTTTCATCAGTTCAACATGCTCTTAACGCACTCTGAAGAACCATTCATTCAGTATTTTGACTTATAGTAGGAAAGAAAGCACCATTGTCATTAGTAAACCTTAAAGACAGGGTATATGCAGGAATCCTGAAGTCAAATGTAATACCTTTTTTAAGACCCTTTCAATACAATTTAAGACCTCATCGCCACTTTGAGTTTTAACCGGTTACCTTGGCGACACACTTTACCTCACATTGACTATATACAGTATTGATTGTCCTTCCTCCTTATCTTCCAACCATTTGGACGCAAACTTGCATTTCCCCATAACGATGTTGTTTAACAACCGGCGTAAACGGACCTTCGCGCGCTATCAAGCAGTGAGCGTGCGATGTCCTGTTCAGATGACGTCAAATCCAACGGGATGCCATAAATAAACTACACAGAATCACACTACACACCTACGCAATGATTACATTCAGGCACACTGTAGAATACAACCTCTTTGGACCATTTATATACTTATTGAAAACAAGCTACAAAATGTAATACCTTGGAAAATGCCGTTTAATACTTTTTAATATCCTTCATTTTCGCTAAATTGATTTATCAACTTTTAATACTTTTTAAGACCCCGCGGACACCCTGAAAGATCTCATTGGACAGCTTCAAACCGAGCAGTAATTAACGTGATTACTCACACCTGTGCATTTCCTGCTGTAACAAAAGCCCATTTAACCACAATGCATTGCAGCGAGACCTTAGATGAGCTCCTCACAGCTGCAAAAACTTTGAGGTAATTGCGGACGTGATGACACATCTACCAAGATATATCCATACAATCTTTGCAACAGCTTTCTTCTGAGTAAAATACATTGTTTTTTATGTATCTATGTTTTTGTGCACCTGCAAGTGAGCATTTTAACTATAATATGATGACACTTATACAGCGTTATGTGCGTATTATTAGAATGTCTAGACTCACAGATGGTAGTTTCTAATATGTTTGACACTAGATGCCTGCGTACATCTTGATGAATGTTAAATCCCCGTGCTTACAGAGACTGCAAGTGAAATGACTCCAGGACGTAATTTGATTTATGCCAGAAAGTCTTATATTTTATGAAAGTTTATGCTGTTATGAGCCAATTAATTTAGATTATGCACAGTGGAACGATGTGAAAAGCAAGTACCGAGTGTGTTATTTAAAAATAAATGCTTACCCTATGGTGAAACAGCTGATTACGGTTCCCAAAAACGCAAAGGTCAGAACAGATCCAAGATTCCCAATTAACCGTTTCTGGAGAAAATGAAAAATGAACATCAATTAGTAACAACTAATACACAGCGCAACAATATCCAACACAGTGACTTAAAGTGTATATTTATATACATGCACAAAAACCTAGAGGGCACACACAGGGCCGGTTTGAGCATCACAAGTCGAGTGCGTTTTACATTATATATAGACGACATCTTACACTCGTTATCTCCAAAACTCTCAGTAAAACCTCCAGATGTGTAAAAATTAAGTATGCATTTGTGTCCCTTTCAACTCCATGTCACACACATCACATGATATTTCTCCCTCTGATGGAACCTCCTCACAGAGTTACAGTCCTTTGAAGGCGTCTCCTCTCCTCCTCCTCGGAGGCATGTCAGGACAGCAGTCTCACCTGATTAAGGGTGTAAGNTCATTAACTCCTCTCTGTCCACTGGACTCGTCCCCCCTGCTCTGAAACTCGCTGCTGTCACTCCCATACTCAAAAAACCTGGTCTCAACCCTGATTCCCAGGGAATCAGGGTTGAGACCAGGTTTTTTGAGTATGGGAGTGACAGCAGCGAGTTTCAGAGCAGGGGGGACGAGTCCAGTGGACAGAGAGGAGTTAATGACTGTGGTGATAAGATGAGTGAGTTGTGGGAGGCAGGCCTTGACAAGTGTGGAGGGCATGGGGTCCAGGATGGAAGTTGAGGTATTCATGCCGGTGACTTGTGCAACTATGTCCAGTGAGGTAATTTGTCTGAAGGCTGTAAAAGGGTGCCTGGAAGGAGGAGGGTAGGCAGGTTCCGGAAAAGGATGGGTGGTGGACGAGATGGAGGAGTTGGCTATGTTGCTGTGTATTATTTCAATTTTGCTTTGGAGGAATGAGAGGAAGGATTCACACTTTGAGGTGGTGAAGGAGTTGGAGATATTATCCATGGGGTTGAGGAGCTTGTCAATAGTTGAAAAAAGGGACTTTGGGTTATTGCTGCCAGATTGTATTACAGAGGAGTAGTGGAAGGAGCGTGCACTGTTGAGGGCATCTTTGTACTGCTGTTGGTGCAGTCTATAAATGAAATAAATATATTTATATATAAATATATAAATGTTGATTCCCTTGGCTGTGTCCAAAATACATGACATTTCAGCCAAATGTGTCCACTGCTTCGAATGTTATCAGCCAATTGAATGTGATTTATCAGTGGTTTTCAAATGTGATAGGTATATAATACGTTACATAAGTATGGGTTAGAATAGGGTCTAATAAGCTCAAAATGCTGTTATCTTCCATTCACATTGTTGATCACCAATTAAAATACAAGAAAACAAAGTTAAAGGGGCCCTATAATTATTTTTGGGTTTCCCTTTCCTGTAGCGTGTTATATGGTTTTTGTGCATAAATAGTCTGTAAAAGAAAAAATCCCAAAGTTCCCTCCAGAGGGAGTTTCTCTCCCACACACTCCCCCCTGCCTGAAACGCCTCCATTGGACTCCTTTGTTTACTTCCGTAACATATTGACATCACAACACTCGCACTTCTATTGGCTAGCGCTCAAACACATTGTAACTGATAGGACAAGGGGCGGATTGCATGCGGTCGACCAATCATAACAAATGTGGCTCTGGTTTCAGACAGAGGGGGAAAAGAGGTGATGTAGCACAGGCCGTATGAGAAAAATAAAGACTTGTATGGACATTAAAGCATGTAAACATGTCACAGTAGAGGCACAACATACTAATATGTAATAATAAGGCCCCTTTAAATAGTTTTGTCTTATTTCATAATGTTAACCACATAATTACAGGTAATTTCCCCAACATTCAGTACCCAATTTTAGAATAATAACAAGTGGACTCAGCATCAACGATCCCTTCTACATGGTTACTTGTAGCTTTACACCTTTGAATATGAAATTATGTCATCATCATATCTTTCAAGGACTCTGAGTCCCCTGATGTTGGTTTTATCAAAGTTATCTCTAAATGAACTTTTCCCAACTCCCGCGTGTCAGCCCGAGTTAGGCCCTATGCCACTCATTCAGCAGGGACCGTGGTGAAGTTGTACAAGGTGTGTCAGCGAGATACAGCAGAGTCAAAAGCCTTAGGCACAGTGTGTATTAAGGTTAATTCGAACTGATTAGATTAAGCAGTGGGGCTGTGGCTTTGTGGAGCTGGAGCATCGCTGCGTGCCCCGCCGTGAAGGGTTCGTGGTGGGCTTTATTTTGTGCTTCTTAGTGAGCTTGTAAGGGTGCTACTACGTCCTTAGGGATAGCAGGTCACATGAGTTCAATTCTTTGATAGCATATATCCAGCAGCTTGTCACGCTTGATGGGAGAGTCAAATTGGCAGGGTCTGGAACAAGGGACGCACTCTGGAGGAGGTTGGTGAATGCTGTTTTTGTATTAATAGTACACTCCTCCTCTCCGTTTTCCCATTACTTAATGTTTATTATATTGGTTTCCTCTGTTTAGTGTCTTCATATTATGCAGGCTGTCCCATGAGAGCTAAAGCCATTTTCCCTTTTATCCATCCTTTTCTGGTAGGTCCCTGTAATGCTGCCTGAGAAAGAGCATTGAGCCGAACGCTTTGCCTTTCTGCATTA